AAATTACATAGATAAAGCCCTTCGTAAAGTGTGGGCTCTACTTGTCAGAACAATTTTTTGCATCTCTTTGAGGCATAAACTTCCAGGAATCCCTTCAATTAGTCTACTGCAATCTTTTCCAACCAGTCCTAGGGCTCAAACTACAACAGGGACTGTTGATGTTCCCATATGCCACATTTTTGAGATTTCTATTTCAAGGTCCTTGTATTTTGGTAGCTTTTTGAATATCTTCCAAGATACATTGCAGTCAGCAGGGACTGTCATATCAATAAGGAGGCACTTATTATTATTATTATTATTATTATTATTATTATTATTATTTTGGACTTCTTTAGTATACATATTTCCTTCCGGGCCCCAACCAGTGACCTAAGGTCTGAAATGGTTTCATGACATTTTGCATTGATCATTTTTGTACTAAACGGAAAAAAGAACAGAACAAAAAACCTAAGATTACACATATTTTACATAGATAAATCTGTTTATAATGTGTGTGCTCTGCTTGTGAGTACATTTCTTTTGTATTTCTTAAATATATGAGCTACCCTTCAATAAGTCTATGGAAACCTTTTCCAATTAATCCGAGAACTCCAACTGCAAGTGGAATCATTAATCTCCTCATATACAACATTTCTGAGTTTTTCACTTCAATATCCTTTTATTTGGGTATTTTCCTGATGATCTTCAAAAATACATTACAATCTACCGCGACTGCCATGTCAGTAAGAAAGCCAATTCTGTTTTATTATTATTATTATTATTATTATTATTATTATTATTATTTGGACAAAGATCAAATCATCATCAAATTGATAAAGTGATACCGAGCTGCAAATATAAAAAGTCTAATATTCCCATCATGACATTCACTCTGACAAGAGCATACCATACACATGCATCACAGCCAAATTTCCGCCATCAGGTGACAGTTTTTGTTAAAAGCAGTGGATAAACTTGCAGATGCGGACATACTGGAAATACTTCACGTAACGCAGTCCGCTCCGACTGTTCTCAATTGTGGTCATTCTCAGTTATCTATGTGACTCCAAATTGCCTTTCTGACTCATCATTGAAACTTTAATAAAAACACCTTCTCGACATCCGGCCATTATACACGCACCGCCACTACGAACATGAACAGAGATGTGTCAGACTCAAAGAGACACGGCCAACTGTTTACGGTCGGGCTAATGATAAGTAATTCTCAGGAAACTGGGTATTTGCTCTAAGACATCTTCATTCACCAATACGAAACATTGACACGTTAACACCTACTATGAATTAAAAATCAGAAAGTCAGGGTAGTCAAGACTAAAGTAACATCAACATCATCATTATTATTGGCTCATTATTTTTTCGCACCAACGGCATGACGAGGTCAAGCGGTGGCAAATCTAATCTATACATTGGTAATCTGATTTTACCAACTTTTAGTAAACTTGTTTGGATAACTTATATTCTCATATTTTCATGAGTTTTCCAATTGCGTTAGTAATGATGAGTTGAAATCCATATATATGTTATATGATATTATACAATATCATATAACAATTCAATATCAACAGACAGAAATAGATATTGACAGACTCCCGATCGCTTCAGGCTGGGACCGAAACCTGAATGAATTGGTATCAGTCAGATAACTGTCAGTTGGAGAGATTTGCATATACCTATCTATCTATCTATCTATCTATATATATATATATATATATATATATATATATATATATATATATATATATATATATATATATACAGTGTAACCCGGATATAAGAGAAACCCGGATATAAGAGATTTTCTCTGGTCCCAAAGTTTTTCCCATACTTACCTAAACAAAATAGACCAAACCCGGATATAAGAGAAACCCAGATATAAGAGACTTCTTCCCCGGTCCCGACAACTCTCTTATATCCGGGTTACACTGTATATATGAGTGAGAGAGAGAGAGGGGGGTAGAGAGAGAGAGAGAAAAAACTGACTCAGATAGATATGAATCAATTGAAATAGATATAACAAAAGCTAGATAGATGCGAAACTGAGATACATAGATAAATAGATGGAGAACAGAGAAAAACTGACGGATCCATAGATCGGATTTTAACAAAGACGTACACATGTTTCAAATATTCTCCTTTCGGCCATTTTTTTTCTCTCACTTGATTGAAAGAGCGGAAGGCTATTTTCGACAGAAAGGAGTGTACGGCTTTACAAGGAAATTCAATCTGAAAACGTAATGTCGGGGCGCGGAAGAAAGTGATTCATACCACAGCAGGGCGTGATAAAAAAAAAAAATGTTGAAACAAATTTGGTCTGTATAAAAATTTAATGTATTACCAATAATACGCCGTCTACAATAAAAAAAAGTGCCTGAAATAAGCATGTACACTACGGTTCAAAAGTTTCAATGAATTCCTGGTAATTTTTTTTTTTTAAATTGGCTCCAAAAGTAGTTGTTTTGTACTTTAAATAAGAGAATATATGATACCTATTCGAAAACGCTCAATATCAGACTCACATCAACGCAACTATATATATATATATATATATATATATATATATATATATATATATTTCTCTTTTCTAGCGTCGACAGATTATGTCGACGCTAGAAAAAAATATTTTGCTTCTTCAGTGTAGATATGACGGTAATAGCCCATTTTTTTTTTATCTGAATTGTAAAAATAGTGCAAGGCAGACGGAGTCAGGTACATTCTGGAACGGTCAATGGATTGTATATATATAATTCAAATACCCGCCTAATTTGTTACATTCAATTTCGCGCTAATGCCCTTGAGAAATGTATGAATTCGTCTATTCCTCGTCGGCTATGAATTAAATAACAGGTAAGTTTGAACCATGTAGCCATGGGCGTTAACCAGTCTAATAGGAACTTTAGGAAAATAAACGGGGAAGCCAACCGTTATATTTCTCTTGAAAGCATAGCAATTCACAGAGAAATAGAATCAAAATGGAAATGCATAATACCCTATGACAGGAATGGCCATATATATATATATATATATATATATATATATATATATATATATATATGTGTGTGTGTGTGTGTGTGTGTGTGTGTGTGTGTGTGTGTGTGTGTGTGTGTTGTGTCTGTATGTTTATACGTTATTTTTTATAAATACAAATATTTAAGTAAATACGCTGTATAAAATAAGCAGCATTAACAACATTTACCGGCCTGAAAGGAATCGAAGCTGTCTCCTACACGGAACCGTATCGGAGTACATATATTTTCTTGGAGATTTCTCGGACATTCAGGACGGTAAATGTTTATAAACAGAGCATTTACTTAAAATATTTTTATAAATTTGTATAAACAAAAATATATAAAAGTAATTGTCGGAATAATTGTGACAATATATCTATATATATAAAATGTACATGCACATGCTACAAGTTAACGGGAAGGCCAAGAACGACTTTGCATTTCCCAACTCCCATCGATAGTGGAAATAATCGATTTTTTCATGCATCTACGGAAGTTTTCATGTAGTTTGCGGCCATTTTCTACTGGCCAGAGTGAGAAGCTATAGCAGGCTGCTACGAATAGGCAGGAAGATTCTGTTGGTCACCGTGAGAGCCAACAGCTGACTGACACGAATGTTAACTAGCATGCTAACATGCAAAAAAAATTGATATCCTCATTCGTCACAAGTGGGAAAAATTTTAAATCTGCATGCCACTTTACTCCAATTGGCTCATTCGCTTACTTAAATCAACGTTGATTCTAATTCCGCAGAACTGGGTTGGGTGTGAAAAAGTATTTGTTGTTAACATTCTTTTTTCATTCGGTTTTTCCAGTTACGAGTCCTTTTTAAAGCTGATCGTTTTGTGTTCATTTTGTTTAGCTCTTTTTCGTAACAGATTTAATGTTTAGTATAGAGCTTAGAAAAAATTCGCAGTGTGAGATAGGCAAGAAGTAAGGCATGTAGCAACATCAGCACGGCAAAGGGCACTCCTTTAAAGGCAAGGAAGGGCAAAAATATTTTAAGTCAAGTGATAGCGATTGCTGTATGAGTCGTACGATTTTTGAATCAAGCACGGGCAACGCCGGGCCATGCTGCTAGTATATATATATATATATATATATATATATATATATATATATATATATATATATATATATATATATATAGTCTTGATATGTGCTATATTTATGGGATAAAGTGCTTAATATCAGAGATAGAGCGCATGTAAATATAAATATAAAAGTGAACATTGAAGTCAACACCCAGATGCGACCGTCTGTTTCATGCTTATACTATTTGATGCCTGCATGAATTTGAGTCCCAATAAATGCTCAAAGCCATTTTTCGTCCATTGAGCTGTTAAAGCTGGGTGCGATGAGAGATCAGCTACGAAGCCGTTTTTTGTAGAGACTTGGTGCCGCTTGATCCCAAAGTGATAGCTACAACACTGGATGAAAAGTATAGTAGATGACGCAGTATTGATAATGTTATAAAGCTTTAATGTCTCTAAAGAAGACACTCATAATAGATTCAATTGTTTTGCAGTTCCTCAGAGTTCTTCCTTATGAATAACCGTGTTCATCGAATAAGGAAGCAGCACTGACAAAAAAAAAAAAAAAAAAAAACGAATGCGCCCAACGTAGAGATAAAACGGCAAACGAACTGAACTGAAGTCTTCCCGAAGTAATTAACAAAACAAATAACAGCAAACAAAGAGAAAGTCATTCTCAGCCTTTTGACAAAAGTGAAACTATTTTCCGCTTTCGATATAAATGGAGTAGATGGGAAGAATAAAAGGAAATAAAAAAAAGGAAAGCAAATATTTCCAAACGAATAATGAAATAAAAGCCTTTGAAAAGCGTGCAAGGCGGTGACATAGCGGCTGGCGAATAAAATGAGCTTTTATCTTTGATCCATTCCCGAATCAAAAATTATTTCTTCAGCGCATCCAGCGACGATTTAGGCATGCTTAGAATTAGGACTATTTAGCAAACATTGAAGAGAAAGTATAATTAGAATGAGACAGGAAGGAAGGAAGGAAGGAAGGAAGGAAGGAAGGAAGGGAGGAAGGGAGGGAGGAAGGAGGGGAGGGAAGGAAGGAAGGAATGCAGAGAGGGAGGAAGGGAGGGAGGGGAAGGAAGAAATGCAGGAAGGAAGGGAGGAAGGAAGGAAGGAAGGAAGGAAGGAAGGAAGGGGGGGGGGAGGGAGGGTGCAGGAAGGAAGGAATGCAGAGAGGGAGGAAGGGAGGGAGGGGAAGGAAGAAATGCAGGAAGAAAGGGAGGGAGGAAGGAAGGGAGGAAAGGAAGGAGGGAGGAAGGAAGGAAGGAAGGAATGATAGGAGGGTGGAAGGAAGGAAGGATGGAAGGAAGGAAGGAAGGAAGGAGCAAGAAAGGAAGAAAAGAAGGACGGAAGAAGCGAGGAAGGAAGGAAGGGAGGGAGGGAGCAAGGAAGGGGGGAAGGAAGGAAGGAAGGAAAGGAGCAAGCTGACAAGAAGAAGGAAGTAAAAAGATGGGAAGAAGAAGGAAGAAATGAAGAAGGAAGATAAATATGAAGAAACGAAGCCAGAAGAGAAGGAAAGAAGATATAGTTGAAGCTGAAAAGGAATGAGAGAGAGAGAGACGGATGATGGATGGGAAAAAAAAACAATGAAGGAAGTAGTAAGGACTAAAGGAAGGAAGTAAGGAAGGAAGGAAGATAGATAGATAGATAGATAGATAGATAGATAGATAGATAGATAGATAGATAGATAGAACAAAGAAGGATGGCAAATTGAAATGAAAGAAGGTAGGCAAATCGAAAAGAAAGAATGGACATGGATGGAAAAGGAAATAAAGAAAGAAGAAAGAATTGAATAATAATAAAGGAACGAGAGAAAAGAAAGGGAAGTTCGTATAGAAAGGAAGAAGCAAATGAAAAATATAATTAGTAAGGAACAGGAAAATGAAGGAAGACATTTTGGAAAGAAAGACGAAAAATGTGTTTTTCCTTCAGCATCTCAAGCTGAAGAAAAAACGAGAGAAACATTTTATATGCTAAGAGTTGCAAATAAAAAAGGAAAAAGAAGATGACAGATTTGAAAGATGGAATTTATACAAAAAGAAACGAATGATGAAGGATTCTGTGTAAAATGAAAAAAAAAGTAAAATTAAATTAATGGAGTAGCAGAGAGAAATTAACGAGAGGAGAAAGGAAATAAGTAATGAAAAAAAAACAAACAGAAAGAAATGAAGAAGAAAGAGTCCAAAAATAATTTTCTGAAAAGAAATAAAGGAAGCGAAGAATGGATAAAAGAAAAAAAAAAGGACGAAGAAGGTAGAAGAATAACAAAAAAGGACAATAGTTAAAAGAGAGACGAAATGAAAGAACAGCAATTGAATATCAGATAAAGTTAAATGCGACAAAAGAAGGAAGTCTAAGAGTCTTGGTTGTGTTGTGGCCACATATTCCTCAGAGAGTCTACGGGACTTCAGAGAATATACAGTGCTGTTCGATAAAAGTGACTCACCTTAGCTCAAATTTCGTTTCATCGGAGAAGAGAACATTCTTCCAGTCTTCTACGGTGAAATTGTTTTAATAGTGAGCCCATTTAAGTCTCTTGGCTTTGTTGGCTTTGCTTATTAGCGGCTTAAACCTTCGTGTACAAGATTTGTAGCCTTGTTCTAACAAAATTTGTAACCATGTTCTGACGGACTGTTGAAGAGGCAAGACTAAAACCTTGTTCTTCGCTTAGACTGTCTGCAATTTCTTGTTCTAGTTATAGTCCTATTCTTCGCAACTTCTCTCTTGATTACCGTGCCAGTTCTATCATCAATCTTTTTTCTTTCGTCCCCTTGTTTCCTTCCTCGGAGCAGGAGTGGCAGCATTATGTGCTTTAAGAGACAGTTGATTGCGAGGTTATAGCAATTTCTGCAATTTCTCTCGTTGACTTGCCTGCTTTTGAGAGGGCAATAATAGATGCCTTAAGTGGTTCTGATGCGTGTTTGTACCCTTTTGTCTGGTTAGTGACTTGAGTGGCTATTTCAAGCTGTTTTTATACTGCTGAGGTTTTCTGGAATATTCTGGAATACTCTAGATTTAATTTAAGCTGTTCTAGAATTCTCTAGAATATTGTTCTGGGTGTATTGTAAAATAGTTTTCCATATTTTGTCAAAAGCTCCTTAAATTTACCAGTTTAATCAGTAGAATGCGATATCTGAGTCACTTTTTTTGCACAGAGTTTTTTTTCCTGAATCTCATTTATATCCAAAATTATAATTATCAATAGAATACTTTAGGGTGAATAAACTTTTTTTACCTAGGTGGTCGGGAGGTGGTCTTTATATTAGTAAGATTGAAAATTATTTTAACCCAAAAAACAATAGACAAAACTGATTTTTAGTAAAAAAAATCAGGTACGTCACTTTTATCAAATAGCTCTGTATATTGGGCATATTCTACATGTGAGTTAAATGCCTGTTGCAGCATAACAATAATTTTATATATATATATATATATATATATATATATATATATATATATATATATAATAATTAAGTAATTGATCAAGTCTAGAAGGAACCCCAGCAGAAAAACACTGTTTCGTACTATATAAGAATCATCTACATCAGAATTCAAACCCTAACAGTTACGACAGGAGGCAAACGCCATACCAACGATCCCTTCATAACTATTTGGGTCTCAATTCTCGATAGTTGATGCGCACCTGCTGATGAGTCCAGTGCTTTCTGCATTCTGTTGCGGTTTCTTCTATATTAGTGAAATTACTTAATTATGATTATTCAAATCCTCCTAATTATATATATATATATATATATATATATATATATATATATATATATATGTGTGTGTGTGTGTGTGTGTGTGTGTGTGTGTGTGTGTGTGTGTGTGTGTGTGTGTGTGTGTGTGTGTGTGTGTGTGTGTGTGTTTTCGAATTAACTCCTAGCAAGGCAGTAAATCTACTAGGACACAAGGGATTACTGGATGTTGAAGAACTAAAAAAAAATAACAGAAGAAGAGTAATCAGGAGGACAGTAAATAGCGATTATAGTTAAGATTAAAGTTGAATGGAAAACATGGTGCCGGAAGAGAGTTCCACAAGCGAGAAAAGAAACAATTACCATAGAACCTACGCTTACATGTAGCCATCTCAACTGATAATTAATGAGACCTTGTTGCAGTCTAGTACTGCACTTAAATTCATAGTCTAGGTACCATATAGGGTAGCTCATCCGAACAGTTGCCATGAAAGTATTTATAGGAAAGGCACAGGGAAGCAAGTTTACGGCAGTGGGATAGTGAATGAAGCCGAGATGCCTGGCCAGGACCAATAATATTTCTGATTTGAAATATAAACAGGATCACTGTACCATATATGGCAGCAATATGTTAAGCATGTTTGTAGATTGATAGATTTGCAAGATAGATTCTGTTGAGAAAAAAATGCCCAGCTTGACACAGTGAACCAGTGGATTCAATAATGTCTTTCCACTTCATGTCAGCCGAGAATGTTATCCCGAGAAGGCACAACGAGTCACTCTCCTGGAGGTTAACCTCAGCCACCCTGATAGAAGGCAAAAAAAAGGGGTTTTCTATGAAAGAGAGAATGACAAAGAGTTTATCGTAGCGACATGCTTTCAGTTGAAACTTGAACAGTTGTTTCGAGTTTATTGATTCTGTACATCGTTTTGGAGATATTTTACGCTGGTTAACCAAAACCAATACACTTTCTTTCTGGTTCGTGGTTTTATTATGACCAATTATATTATACTTCATAACCTAGAGTTATTTTTATGAGTTTCATTTCTAACCGGATTGACTAATATCCGAACCAGCGACCTGAATCCAGCACTAGCCGCAGCAGCAGGGGCAAACCTCGCCATCAGCAGCAGCAGCAGTGGCAATTCAGAAGCCAGCGACTAGCGGCATCAGCAACCTTGACCATCAGCAGTAGCTGACCTGACAGCGTCATCTCTCTCAGCACTGTAACTAGCAGCAGTAGCGAACTTGGCTAACACAAACCTTTGCTGTCTCGGCTAGCAGACAAACTGACTCCCACCGGCCACTTAAATAAATTGTATAAATTATTATTATAAACAGATAATATATATATATATATATATATATATATATATATATATATATATATATATATATATATATATAAATATATATAAATGGTATGTTGTTTTTTGTTTCAGCAAACGGACTTTTTCAATTTAATCTTCAACAGTTTGTTCGGGTTTATTAATTCTGTACATCGTTTCGGAGGCATCTTCCGATGGTTATCCAAAACTGATACTATATCCTTCCTGTTCTTTTTTATATTATGACCAATTAAATTATACTTTATAATCCATAGTTATTTTTATGACATTCATTTATAACCGGAAGTAGCGTCAAAATCCTGCGCTGTTCTAACACTCCTACGCCATAAACCAGCAGTGAGCAGCTGTTCCTCGAACTGGGGAAGAAGAATATGATTGTAGTATCCAGACCAGCAATCACCAGTGACCAAGCGACTCCCGCCGACCAAGTCTTCTACCAATACAGTCGATGATTCAGTTTATATTCCCCGCTACCCATCACCACGCGTGTTACTGTGGTTTCTACATCCTACCCTCGACTACGACTACTTACTCGTACTTGCTCAACACACCGTTTATCGAACTTCGCCGATATACCTATCATCTTTCTATGCCTCTCAAGCGGTTTCGTCTGCATCTTCTGGTTATCAACAACCTGGCTACGACTGCTAGCTTGTGCCAACCCAATACGCCAACTCTCTATCAACCTACCGCACCACTACAATTGCTGCGGTCATCATGAAATATGGACGCATCTAAGACCAAGATAACTACTAGCACGACCCCCAAGGTATTTGAAACATCTGGATTCTACATTTGTATTTTCTTTTTGTTGCATAGAAGTAAAGTGTCGCTGCCGACACTATAGTTTGAACATAGATCGCCAGAGAGCAAACACAGGCGATCCAATTATTGAAATAAGTGGATCACGTGACCATGGGGAAACGCCTAAGTAAGAATTAGCCCGACATCTAAATGATCACCATTTCTATTCTATCCTCTATTACTATACCGTTCACTCTTCTTTATACTATTCACTATTTCTACTCTATTTCTCTATGCTGATCACTATACGGATTACTATTCGTCGGTTACATTCGTACTATTAGTGCGAGTGATATTCGAAGGCGTCTGACATCAGTATTGTTCATCGGCCTTACTATAGTTGTATCTGCGATTACAAAGTCTCTACTACAACGAGCATTACGAAAGTGACAACGAGTATCCGTTGATACTATCCTCGGCAGAATGGCCAGAATATATTAAAATTTCTTCAGGCATGAAATCGTTTCTGGGAATGCAACACGAGCTTCATCATGGTTGCTGATATTTTTTAAATTATTGTTCCACAAATATAGGGCCTAAAAACCACCCAAAATAGGGAGTGGTTATTAAATGAGTTATTCGTAAGGGCGTACAGAGTGGGAGTAAAAGTTGCATATTACGAGAATATATAAGAGCGATAACGTTTGTCACTCGACTTGAAGACGTTAATGTTGAAGTGATCGGAGCTGAATCCTCTTGGAAGTAACTTCTACAATGCTTTTATTTCTTTAAGATATTTATTCATTTTTTTTTAAATTGTACTGATTTCTAATCGAATATCTTTTCTTCTGTTTATCGCAATTTATTTTAAGTTACCTAGTATAAAATCTATGCGAGGAGATGAAATGTTTACTGCCGCACGCATTTCCGCAAATCTGATAGAATGACCAAACACGATATATATTTTTGGGGGAGGGAAATGTTTTTCTTGGTTGATTGGAGAACCATTCAGCAATCACTGGTACCCGTGGCGTTTCGAATGCTTTGAACTCATTGTTTCCCGACATCATGACAGCGGGCAGCAAGATAATTGGGTTTTATTTATA